AGACTATAGACTAGACTATAGACTAGACTATAGACTAGACTATAGACTAGACTATAGACTAGACTATAGACTAGACTATAGACTAGACTATAGACTAGACTATAGACTAGACTATAGACTAGACTATAGACTAGACTATAGACTAGACTATAGACTAGACTATAGACTAGACTATAGACTAGACTATAGACTAGACTATAGACTAGACTATAGACCAGACTATAGACTAGACTATAGACTAGACTATAGACTAGACTATAGACTAGACTATAGACCAGACTATAGACTAGACTATAGACTAGACTATAGACTAGACTATAGACTAGACTATAGACTAGACTATAGACTAGACTATAGACTAGACTATAGACTAGACTATAGACTAGACTATAGACTAGACTATAGACTAGACTATAGACTAGACTATAGACTAGACTATAGACTAGACTATAGACTAGACTATAGACTAGACTATAGACTAGACTATAGACTAGACTATAGACTAGACTATAGACTAGACTATAGACTAGACTATAGACTAGACTATAGACTAGACTATAGACTAGACTATAGACTAGACTATAGACTAGACTATAGACTAGACTATAGACTAGACTATAGACTAGACTATAGACTAGACTATAGACTAGACTATAGACTAGACTATAGACTAGACTATAGACTAGACTATAGACTAGACTATAGACTAGACTATAGACTAGACTATAGACTAGACTATAGACTAGACTATAGACTAGACTATAGACTAGACTATAGACTAGACTATAGACTAGACTATAGACTAGACTATAGACTAGACTATAGACTAGACTATAGACTAGACTATAGACTAGACTATAGACTAGACTATAGACTAGACTATAGACTAGACTATAGACTGGACTATAGACTAGACTATAGACTAGACTATAGACTAGACTATAGACTAGACTATAGACTAGACTATAGACTAGACTATAGACTAGACTATAGACTAGACTATAGACTAGACTATAGACTAGACTATAGACTAGACTATAGACTAGACTATAGACTAGACTATAGACTAGACTATAGACTAGACTATAGACTAGACTAGACTATACTAGACTAGACTAGACTAGACTATAGACTAGACTATAGACTAGACTATAGACCAGACTATAGACTAGACTATAGACTAGACTATAGACTAGACTATAGACTAGACTATAGACTAGACTTATAGACTAGACTATAGACTAGACTATAGACTAGACTATAGACTAGACTATAGACTAGACTATAGACTAGACTATAGACTAGACTATAGACTAGACTATAGACTAGACTATGACTAGACTAGTTAGTTAGTTAGTATTTGGTCTTTTGTACCCTACTGAATATCTTGAGAATCGTTCTATAATTAAACACCTTCTTACGGTTGCTATAGGGTATTTACAAAGTCGGACACTTACGACTATATTCTCCCGTTTTTTTCAATTATGTTATCTTTTGAGAATTTCTTTAGTATCTTTATTTTTCTTCTGATAACTTCAAGTTGAAGAAGTTTTGTTTGTTTGTTTTGTACGCACAACATAAGAAAACATTTAAAAGGAGTGGGGAACTACCAATTCGGACCTATAAATACAGGTATTTCCACTTAATAGATTTTAGTCGAAACCAATATTAAGTTTGAAACGGTGTTTTTAAATCGCATAATAGATAATAGAATATAATTAATAAAGAACTAAGGATATTTGTATCCTTCAACTAGTTTTCGACAAAAAAAAGAAATGTTTATAAAATTTTTATTACTGACCCTATTGGTAGCAATATGGCAGCATGAAACAGTAGTGGCAAGTGAAAGAAGTATGTGTTGTAAAAATTATATTTTAAATTATAAGTGAAATAGTGTGGAATTTACAAAAAAAACTTAATATTTTATATTTTAAATAAATTAATTTGGAACTAGTCGGATATAACGTATTAACTTTTTATATTTGATAAAATGAATCGAATCGATATTTGATAAAATGAATCGATTTTTAACTTTAAACATTTTTAAAATTGTGTGACAAATTTTTACTTTAAAATAATAGTTGTTGGATTCATTCTCAACTTTACTATTGGATATACTTTAAACAATTTTAGATAAATAACGTAATTGATATAAAATTTATAAACGATTTCCGATTAATTTGTTATGAATATATTTTCTGAAAGGAGACTGAGACTAACCGAAAAAATGAACTTTTTCTTCACAGAAAATGTTGTCTGCTATCATGGAACCTGGTCAACATATCGTCAATCAAAGGGTAAATTCGATGTTGAAAAAGACATTGATCCCTTCTTGTGTACCCATCTAATGTATGCTTTCTTTGGAATCGAGGAGACCGGTGATCTTAGGGTCATAGATCCCTATTTGGATTTAGAAGATAATTATGGACGCGGAAATATAAGAAAGTTCAATGCTTTAAAATTGCGAAATCCCACCTTAAAGACAATGTTAGCCGTAGGTGGCTGGAATGAGGGATCAAAGAAATTTTCAATTGTTGCTGCTGATCCAGCAAAGAGAGCACGATTTGTTCAATCGGTTGTACAATTTATACAAAGGCATGGTTTTGATGGTTTGGATTTAGATTGGGAATACCCCAATCAGCGCCATAAGTTATCTAACAGCGATCGTGAAAATTTTTTGACTTGGTTAAGAGAATTGAAAGAAGGGTAAATAGTGTAAAATATGTAAGGTTCTTTAATTTCTTACTAAATTATTACTTAGTTTGGAACCTTTTGGCTATATTCTAAGTGCTGCTGTGGGTTCAGCGGAATTTTCAGCCGAACTTTCTTATAATATACCCGAAATGTCTACGTACTTGGATTTAATCAATGTTATGGCTTATGATTTACATGGTCACTGGGATCCAGTGGTAGGCATTAATTCCCCTCTCTATTCAGGACCCTTAGATACATCAGAGCGTGCCAAACAACTTAATTTCGATGCTATAGCCAAATATTGGATAAATCAAGGTAAACTAGTTTTTTTTACATATTTAAAACAAACTTATTATTATTTAAACTTTCAGGAGCTCCTCGCGAAAAACTCGTTATGGGTGTACCATTTTATGGACGCTCCTTTACTCTGGCGGATCCTAAAAATCATGCTGTCGGTGCTCCACACATTGGTCGCGGCTTGGCTGGTCAATATTCGGTTGAGCCCGGTATTATTGGTTACAACGAACTATGTGAAACATTCCAAAATCAACAGTCTCTTTGGAATCAAGAGTGGGAAGTTAGTCAAATGGTACCTTATGCCTATTATGGACGCCAATGGGTGGGCTATGAAAACGAAAAAAGTATTGCTCTAAAGGTGGATTATGTAAAGAAGGAAAATTTGGGCGGCATTATGATATGGTCCATAGAATCGGATGATTTTAGAGGTGTATGCGGCCAAAAACGTTATCCTCTTTTAACGCTTATCAATGAAATTCTACATGGATCGGTCTATTCAGATTTAGTGGGTAGAAAACCTGATGTTTCTCCCGTACAAATACCAATTAAAGAAAATGTAAATATAATTCCTTCGGTTGAAACTTTGAATAACAACAACCAATGTCAGGGTAAAAATGGTTATGTACGTGATTCGAAAAATTGTAGTAAATTCTATTTTTGTGATAATGGTGAAACATTTAGTTTCGATTGTCCCTCATTATTGTATTTTGATTTGAAAAGTTTAAGTTGTAATTATTCATATTTGGTGGAGTGTTAATCGAATAATTAAATTGTAAAGAAAATTTCAGAAATAAAATACAAAAAAAAAAAAAAAAAAATTTAAAATAAAGTTAAATTTACAGAAAATATATAAATGTCTATATAATTTATAAAAAATACCTAATCCCAAATAATCGGCATATAGACATATATATTATGTGGTATGGGTCAATAGTCTAAAGATAGATAGATAGATAGATAGATAGATAGATAGATAGATAGATAGATAGATAGATAGATAGATAGATAGATAGATAGATAGAATAGATAGATAGATAGATAGATAGATAGATAGATAGATTAGATAGATAGCTAGATAGATAGATAGATAGATAGATAGATAGATAGATAGATAGATAGAATAGATAGATAGATAGATAGATAGATAGATAGATAGATAGATAGATAGATAGATAGATAGATAGATAGATAGATAGATAGATAGATAGATAGATAGATAGATAGATAGATAGATAGATAGATAGATAGATAGATAGATAGATAGATAGATAGATAGATAGATAGATAGATAGATAGATAGATAGATAGATAGATAGATAGATAGATAGATAGATAGATAGATAGATAGATAGATAGATAGATAGATAGATAGATAGATAGATAGATAGATAGATAGATAGATAGATGATAGATAGATAGATAGATAGATAGATAGATAGATAGATAGATAGATAGATAGATAGATAGATAGATAGATAGATAGATAGATAGATAGATATATAGATAGATAGATAGATAGATAGATAGATAGATAGATAGATAGATAGATAGATAGATAGATAGATAGATAGATAGATAGATAGATAGATAGATAGATAGATAGATAGATAGATAGATAGATAGATAGATAGATAGATAATAGATAGATAGATAGATAGATAGATAGATAGATAGATAGATAGATAGATAGATAGATAGATAGATAGATAGATAGATAGATAGATAGATAGATAGATAGATAGATAGATAGATAGATGATAGATAGATAGATAGATAGATAGATAGATAGATAGATAGATAGATAGATAGATAGATAGATAGATAGATAGATAGATAGATAGATAGATAGATAGATAGATAGATAGATAGATAGATAGATAGATAGATAGATAGATAGATAGATAGATAGATAGATAGATAGATAGATAGATAGATAGATAGATAGATAGATAGATAGATAGATAGATAGATAGATAGATAGATAGATAGATAGATAGATAGATAGATAGATAGATAGATAGATAGATAGATAGATAGATAGATAGATAGATAGATAGATAGATAGATAGATAGATAGATAGATAGATAGATAGATAGATAGATAGATAGATAGATAGATAGATAGATAGATAGATAGATAGATAGATAGATAGATAGATAGATAGATAGATAGATAGATAGATAGATAGATAGATAGATAGATAGATAGATAGATAGATAGATAGATAGATAGATAGATAGATAGATAGATAGATAGATAGATAGATAGATAGATAGATAGATAGATAGATAGATAGATAGATAGATAGATAGATAGATAGATAGATAGATAGATAGATAGATAGATAGATAGATAGATAGATAGATAGATAGATAGATAGATAGATAGATAGATAGATAGATAGATAGATAGATAGATAGATAGATAGATAGATAGATAGATAGATAGATAGATAGATAGATAGATAGATAGATAGATAGATAGATAGATAGATAGATAGATAGATAGATAGATAGATAGATAGATAGATAGATAGATAGATAGATAGATAGATAGATAGATAGATAGATAGATAGATAGATAGATAGATAGATAGATAGATAGATAGATAGATAGATAAACGGATTTACACTTTTACACTTTTGCGAAATTTTATACTTTCTTTAAAAGAGTAAGTAATCATGTGTATGAGGCCCGATAGTAGCCTAGGTGAAGTTCTTCGGATTTAATGTAGTATACATCCTCCTATCAACCTAACCTAATCATTTGTATGTGTTTATTCTATCACAACATTTTAAATTCACGTGAAATCAAGATTTCACGCGTAATTGTAAACGTGAAGATACCATTCTCAATGGTAGCTTCACGTTTTTAAAATAAGTTACGAAAATGTAAAATTAAATTTAGTTTATATAATTATATCTCGCGAAGAAAACGATAGTTTGGGGTTTTTTCATTCTATTGTATTGATATAGAAACCATTATTGCAAAATTTAATTGGAAAAGTTCGACTACTTTTCTATTAAATACAGTATTATCTATTAAGTATTAATAAAGTGATTCCAGTGTAACTATTCCCAAATTGTTGTTAGAAATAAGTGCTTTTTTGAATTAATACGTTATTGTATTTATTAGGAATTTAATTGTTATTTAAAGTATATTTGTTTGTCTATATTTACCGTTAATACTTAATTAAATATTTTTAACTTTTAGATAAACACAACTATACGCAGCTTTTTTTGTTTTTTTGGTATAAACATTTATTAAACATATGCCAAATTTTCAGAATCTTAATTAAAGAAATTTTGTTTTTTATTATTTTTCACAATATTTGCATTATGTTTTTGTTTAAAATGCAATAAAAGAATAAAATAAATAAACATTAACAATGCGTTTTTAAAGAAACATTTTTAGTTCCAAAGAAGTTCTATGTTTTCCAAAAATTATATAAAAAGCGATAGTTAAGAATTTTTTGTGACAGTACTTTTCATTTAACGGTTAAGATATGAATCAATTAAAACTAATATTAATTGGTCTGCTGGGATTGTGGATCAGTTGTGGTGTAACTAATGGTAATGTTTTTAGTTTTTTAAAAAAAAAGTTATTAATAGTTTAATTTTGATTTTATTATAAATTTTCAGGCAAAATGATCAATTGTTATTATGGCACCTGGGCGAACTATCGTCCAGATGATGGCAAATTTGAACCTTCTAATATTGATCCGTCGTTATGTACCCATTTAAGTTATTCCTTCTTTGGCATAACACTAGCTGGAGAATTCAAAGTTTTGGATGAATGGTTGGATTTAGATAGTGGTTTGGGTATGTTTTTTTTTAATAAAAGTTGTGTTATTTGTATTTTCTATATAGAGAACGAATCTAAAGTGACATTTTTCTTTAAAAAAATTTCGAAAGAAGACAACTTTCTATAGGAAAATGTCTAAAGAAGACACTTTTTTATAGAAAAAACTTTTCTTTTAAAAAATTATTAAAAAAGACAACTTTCTATAGAAAAACGTCTGTAGAAGAAAATTTTCAAAAGAAAAACCACTTTTCGATAGAAACAAATTTCTAAAGAAGACACATTTCTATAGAAAAATGTCTAAAAAACACTTTTCTATAAACAACTTTCTATTAAAGACACTTCTCTATATAAAATAATGTCTAAAGAAGACACCTTTCTATAGAAAAACGTCTAAAGAAGTTTTTTCTAGAATGATTTTTAAAGAAAAATATGAAAAGATGATACCTTTCTATAGAATAGTGTCTAAAAAAGGTAGTTTTCTATAGAAGGATATCTATATAAGACTATATTCTACAGAAAGCTGTCTGAATAGATACTTTTCTATAGAAAATATCTAAAAAATAATCTTTTCCATATCGAGTTTTCTATAGAAAACTCTTTTCTATAAAAAGTTGTCCACAAAAAAGATTTTTCTATAGAAAGGAGTCAATAAAGTCACTATTCTATAGAAGGTTGTCTAAGAAAAGTTGTTTATATAAAACTTG